TGGGGTCTTTTGTGGTTCCATACAAATCTGATGAATTTTTGTTCTATTTCTTTAAGAAAATGTCTTTGAGATTTTGATGGGGATTTCATTAAATCTGCATATTATTTTGGGTAATATAGGCATTTTAACTATGGTGATTCTTCCAATCTATGAACATGAAATATTATTCCATTTCATTGTGTCTTTTTAAATCATTTTAAATAATGCATTGTGGTCTTCAGTATATAAGTCCTTCACATTCTTTGTTGTTTATTCCTAGGTATTCTATTCTTTTTGTTGCAATTTCAAAAGGAATTTTTTTTCATTTCTTTTTCTGAACTTTCATTGTTAGTATATAGGAATACAATGGATTTTTTGTGCATTGATTTTGTATCATGCAACTTTACTGTACTTAGTTATTGAATAAACAGGATGGCATATATATATATATACATATATATATATATATGTATATATATATATGAGAGAGATATATATAGATAGATATAGATATAGATATAGATATAGATATAGATATAGATATAGATATAGATAGATAGATATAGAAAGATATAGATAGATATATACAATGGAATGCTACTAAGCCATAAGAAAATATGAAATATTGCCATTTGTAACAACATGGATGGACTTGGAAATATCATGTTAAGTGGAATAAGTCAGAAAAAGCTAAGAACCATATGATTTTACTCACATGTGGAACATAAGATGAAACTCATAGACACAGACAAATTATGGTGGTTACCAGAGGGAACAGGGCAGGTGAAAGGTTAGCAAAGGGTAAAGGGGGCCAAACATATGATAACAGAAGATGATTTTACTTTGGGTGGTGGGCACACAAGGCAACATATAGATCATATGTTATAGAAATGTACACTTGAAAACTATATAACCTATTAACCAATGTCACCCCAATAAATTAAATTAAAATTAGCTTTATATATTCAAGAACTTGACTTGGTAATAGATGATAGGGTATCCAGTAAAGATTCATCAGAGAGCTCATGAAATCTTTTAATTCCTATTTTTTATTTAATTTCCACCAATGAACTTGGTTATAAAACCCTGTAGTTAAACAAATTAAAAATTCTATGTAGTTAAATGGTGAGAACATGTGAGAGTTTTAAGATAAGTTCTAGAAATCTAAATTTCAAAGGTCATCATATTATTATACCCCAGTCTTTTAAAATAAAAACACCAAATGTATTTTTCCTAGGAGTAACAATTTCTTGGCTATTCTTTCCAAAATTTCAAGGATCCAACTGAAAGCCTTCAACAATGGACAATCTATCTACTTTTAAAGAGCATTCACTCTACTAGTCATCCAAGAAAAGCTAAATGTATTCACGCTTCTGGGCTTGTATGCTTTTTTAATAACTCAATTTCATGCCATACCAGGCAGACATTCTTCTAAAACCAGTTTTCTCAGCCACAAAATGGCAACATCACAATACAAAATCAACAGACCATTTTTCAATTAAAAATTTCATGGTAAGGCTTTTCCTGTGGGCACATGTATATTGTTACAGCCCAGGCTATACTGACCAAGTGCTGGATGGTTCTTTCCTTCACAACCCTTTCACATGAGAGTAAAAGAAACAAGTTACAGGTGGGGAGAAATGAGAGCTGAGGCTGTAAAACGCATAGAGTGTGATCAATGACACGAAAGACTCAGTTCAAATGTGGAATTGGGAGGTGCCTTCTGGCAAACTGAGCCCTCCTATCAGAAATGGAACAAAACCAGGAAAAGCTTGTTGTTGGAAATAAGTGTAAAAATGACTTACCATAACAGTTATCACAAGGATAAAAGTGTTGGTAATTCTCTTATTGACTTTTTTATATTTCTTTAAATAATCTGATGATTGTGATAGCTGTCTATAGTCAACCAAAGCATCCAAGCACATGTGTACACACATGGACCCTCACCAATACAGCACTATGCACACAGGCAACTTCTAATTCTCCAGGCTCCCCGGAAGCTCTTCAACCATCCTGCCTGAGGATGAGCCGCTGCAGTAGTAAGGGAGGGAGGTGGCTTAACTGACACGATATCATGGTTCTCTGGTTCCTTTGCCTTTCTCCTGTCCATGTTCCCTCCATAGCTACATAGCCATGTGGACATGCGGACCCTACATGCAACGGACTGATGGACTGCAGCTGGGAACACACACTAAAGTAGCATGTTGTTGGATTGGACTATTCCCTGACAGGGAATGAACACTATGGACACTGGCTTTGCTTTCAGCTCTATTAAAGTCACAGCTGCACTTCCGGACCTTGGAAATTCAGGGGTAATTCCACAGAAATAACGCTTTCTGCAATACCTCATCCTCCCAACCGAGTCCCAGAAAATTCCTTTTCTCTGGATATCACAAGAATTACACTCCCACTAACAGCAGGAGAGGTCAAGGACCTCTCCCCGACGGTAACATGTTGACTGACGGTTCTGAATTACATACATCTTAACACTTACACGACAAAAAAAATAATCTATTTGTGAGATTATTTGCTACAGCGGCTTAGGTTGTATTGTAGACAACATCCTAATTTACTCAGATATTGGATTTATTGAAATTATATTGGGTAATTTACAAAATTATTAGTAATGTTCAAAACAGGCTTGGGAAATAGTCAGTAATTAAAGGATATAGGACACAGCCAAAAATTCTACCACAGCCTGGTGAGGTCATTCCTTTCCTGTGAAAGCTCGAATCTGTGGCAGCCAACCACAAGTGCTTCCTGAATAACCCCAGGTTGCAATCCTTCTTCTACAATTAACAGTTTAAATGCTGGGAAGCCAAGAATGACAAATGTCCCCCACAGTCTACCTTTAGACATGGAATAATCCCGTACATCTTCTTCCTCATTCTTATGCTTAAAAATAGAAAATGTTCCACTAAAATTGTTATCACTCATACATCTTAATATAGATTCACATTCTTCCCAAGAAGAGGATGATAAAGCTTCATGAGCCTCTACAACTTAGAGCTCAGTAGCCTCTCTACTTCTGAGGGGATGACCATTCCTTTTCTACCTATGGGGCAATTCCATGATGACATCATGGACCATGAACAAAACAGTGACATTACTTAATAGTAAACCTGGTATTAATAGGGGGAGTTGAAATAAAAAGGAAATTAGTTAAATGTACAAATATATCCTTAACACATTAAAAAAGGAAATATGAGTTGATGTTTCAATCCTCATATCTGCAGTTATCATAAGGCCACAGCAGTAATAAAACTTTCCATCCTCCAACACCCATCCCATATCCTCACTGATTGAAAACAACATGTCTGCTGGTCAAGATGCTTGCCTGGGACAAAGCTGGATGGTTTACATTACCTCAAGGAAAGGTTGTCAATCATACTGTAATCTCTAGTAGTTGTTCTTTACCAGCACTGAAAAAACAACAACAACAACAAAAACAAATCATTAGCTACATGTCAGGTCCCAAGGGCTCTTTGGATTTGTTCTATTAAGGAGACCACATATGGAGCAGCAGCTTTAATTGGTGTCATCCTGTGATTAAACTTACAATTACTAATGGGCTCTGAATGGCCAATCCATCTTCCCCACTGGTCAAGCTGGAAAGTGAAGTGGACACAAGCTAACATTGCAACTTTCAAGACTTGAATTATGGGGCTGCCCTCAGCATCTATATCCTTATGCCTTTTCCCACTGAGAATGTTTATCTTTGACATAATATAAATCTTACATAAAAGTTGAAAGAACAGCAAACTGTCTGATCCTTTCACCCAGCATTATTTTATTCTTTCTTTCCTTTTCCATGATCTCTTTTTCTTCTTTCTCCTTCTTACTATTTTCTCTCTTATTATCATTTGTTTTTTATTCATTTAAAAGGAAATTGCATACATGGTACCTCTTTAGCCCTAGATACTATAGTGTACATTTTCTTTAAGTTTATAATTTTGTTAAATATTCATAACAAATTAAAACGAAGACACTAACATGAATGAGACATTGTCTAGTTTCACAGATATCACTAGATGTTGCCAATTCTGCAGTAAAGGCCTTCATACTAAAAAGAACAAATAAAAACAAACAAATAACAGTAGAACAGATCAGTTACTTCATAGACTGTCTTCAGTTCCTGTTCGTTTGATGGCTCCTTATGGTTTGATTCAAGTTATGCTTTGTTGGCAGGAATACAATAGAAATGAGACTGCCTTTTTAGTGCCTAACATCAGAAGGTACATGCTGTTGATTAGTCCAATTACTAGCAATGTTAATTTTTTAGAACAATAAACACCTTTATTCCATGAGCTAAGATAGGAGGGAGGAGGATTTATATGCCTTTCCGGCCTTAATTTTCCTCAGCTACAACCCCAGCTTCTTGCCCTATCGCACATTGCCATCTGTGCGGCTACATTGACCTGGTCTTGAAGTAAGGCTGCAAGGAGATTGCCCTGCTGGAAATGTTCCTCTAGAAAACTGCTGACTTGGGTATTGCTTTTATTTCCATCATATTTCTTCTGAATATTCTTGGATCGATTTTTGTTTAAAATCTCTTCCTCCTCAGGAGTCAGCTTGGCCCCCATTTTGTGGCCCAGGGCAGTGCCTAGCAGGACTGTATCACTGTCAATACGGTGTGTTGTTAATGAGCATGTTGCAGTTTTTTAACAGGGTCTTGGCATGGGCCAGTTCACTGTTGGACGCATAGAGACAACATCACAATCCTTGCTTTGCTCCTGCAACCCTGGGAGAAGCTGCAGCATCCAGCCTCAAGGCCCGGCACTTAATATTGACTCCCACACACATGGACTGTGTGTTTGCCCCAGGTCGATCTTAGTGTTGGCAGTGTAGTGTACCATCTCACATTTCTGCTTTGTGTGGTAGGGCTTTCTATTTCTCCGGGTCCTATGGTGCTTGCGCTAGTTGTCCTAAGAGATGCTTGAATGTGGGAGCTGGGGACAGAGGCTTGAGTCATGAGATGTAGGACCAGCCCTCCCAGCTCCAGAATCCCACACCAGGTGAGCAGCAAGCTCAGCTCTTCAAGCTGAGCATCAAGCACTCGGCAGATTACAGTAGTACCAAGGTATCATCATACACATGCAGCCCAGCCTGCACCTTTTCCCACCACAGCCATGTTGCTGCCCCTTGCAGTCCCGTTGGCATCCCAATGACAATGATAATTTTGACCTTTGGATCACAACATATGATCTATCCTGGATAACATTCCATGTGTGCTTTGGATGAATGTGTCTTCTGCGGCTACTGGACAGAATGTTCTGTAAAATTCTGTTAAGTCCATCTGCTCTATCATGTATTTTTATATATATATATATTTTTATTGATTTTTTTACAGAGAGGGATAGAGAGTTAGAAACATTGATGGGAGAGAAACATCAATCAGCTGCCTCCTGCACACCTCCTATTAGGGATGTGCCCGCAACCAAGGTACATGCCCTTGACCGGAATTGAACCTGGGACCTTCTAGTCTGTAAGCTGATGCTCTATCCACTGAGCTAAACCAGCTAGGACATCTATCATGTATTTTAATTCCTATGTTTCCTTATTGATTTTTGTCTGGATGACCCATCTATTGTTGAAAGTGGACTATTGAATCCCCTACTATTATTGCATTGTTGTCAATTTCTCCTTTCGAGTATGCTAATACTTGCTTTATATATTTAGGTGCTCCTATGTCAGGTGCACAAATATTTACAAATGTTATATCCTCTTGTTGGATTGACCTTTTAATAATTTTATAATGACTTCCTTTGTCTGTATTACAGTCTTCAGCTTGAAGTTTATTTTGTCTGATATAAGGGTAGCTACCCCTGCTTTTAGTTTCCATTTATATGGAATATCTTTTTCTAAACCTTTATTTTCAGCCTGTATGTATCTTATTTCATTCTAAGCATATTTTTTCCATTATTGAGGACATATAGCTTTCTTAAAATATTTATCTGCTAAATCTAAAATCTGAGTCATCTCGATTTTGGTCTTCCTTTACCATTTTCCTCTTGACAATGAGTTCTATTTTCCTAGATCTTCTTATGTCAGGTAATTTTGGATTGCATCCTGGACAGTATTGCTGTTAAGGAGAGTCTGGCTTGCTATTATTTGCTGATGAGCTGGTTTTCAGGTTTATATGTTTGTTTGTTTATTTGTTTGTTTTAGCAGATATCTAACTTGGTTGGACTTCAACTGCAAATTCATTCCTGGAAGCTAGCTCTAATCTCAGATAAAAACTTTTAAGCTAAGATTTTTGGAGCCTACTTCAACCATGCATGGTACATAAATCATCCTGAGATGGGGGGCAGACATGAATCAAATATTCCTTCTCTGGCTCTTTTTTATTTGGAAATATATCTCCTTCTCCAGTGCCTATGTTTTTCCCAGTCTGAATTTGCTGGTTTCTCTAGCCAGAAAGGCTGTAATTTTTTCCACCAGTGCCCCTAGCAACTGCACCTTCCCCAAACTAAAACTAAACAAATAAACAAACACCAACAAATCAGAGAGAACTCACTATACAACTCTTGCTTCCAATCATGGACTCCATAAAATCTGCCTGCTTCTGTTCTCTCTCCAGCAACCACCCTTTGTATTTTTTTTCAGAGTTTGTAGCTATTGTCTGCAGAAGATTTTGTCTAGCTGAGTTTTCATAGTCATCACTGAAAGTAGAAATAACAAATTATACTTTTAAATACTATTTTTGTTGCATTATTGTTGTTTTCTTAAATCTCCTTTAGAATGCCAATTACACGTTATTTCTTCTTTGCCTTTCTTTCATTTCAACCACTTTCTTTCTAATCCTTTTGATTGTTTTCTTAAATCTAATTTTTATTATTGTCTCTGTTTTCCTGTTTTTCTTAAATGCCCCTTATACTGTTTTTAATTACATTTATTCTTTCTCAAGAAACTTGTAATTTAATCTTCATTTCTGATATTACATTATCTTTTTAAGTTTTCTGAGTTTAATAGACTTTAATTTATTAGAAAAATGTTCATCATTGGAACTGTTTGGGTTTTAATTTTCCCCAAATCTTAAAAGTAGAAAGATCAATAGATAAATAGACTGGCTGTTTTTGTCTCTCTGCATTCTGTACACAGGGCAGGTGGTTGAATGGGTTATGAGATTTCAGGTTCAAAAGCATATCAGTCAGTGTAGCAAAGAATTGTTTCTTTACTAATTTGGGAGAAAGGGGATAGGTGGGAGAAAAGAGAAGTTCTGTGTACCTTTTTATTTTTAGTTTTTAATCTTGAAGGTTACTAAATTTTCTCCTTTTGCTTATTTTTCTCTTTTCTGCTCAGTTTCCAAAAGTCACCCATTCATTCCATCTAACCCTCTTTTTCCCTTGAAACATTACTTTCCCAAGTCTGACTCCACAGATCCCAAAGCACTTTAAACCTTTCCTATAGGCTGTGCTCTGAAACAAAAATGCAAGTACATTTGCATTTGTGTGGATTTCCTTTTAGGTAATTTTTTTTACCATCAATTTTAGGCATGCCATAAATTCCTATATACTCTCTTTAGTGCAATTTTTCTAGAACCATCTTTGTATTATTCAAATAATGTGGCAAGGACAGTGGGTAATACCTTGGTTTGGTAGGATTTTGTGTTTATTTTTCTACTAAAAAGTACTTTAAAGTTTTCTAATTATGTTGAAAGTATGGGTTTTCTATAGTAGTTTTGTTTGTTTCTTTCTTTGAGAAGTTAGGAGTGGAGGTTCTATGTGCCCACTACTGCCTTCCACTACATAGAACTTTATATTTACTATATAGCTAAGAAATGAGAGCCTTTATTACAGTACTTCATCTGTATATCATAAAATAAGTATGAGTGCTCTTATTTTTACTGAATATTTGTGTATCAATATTTAACAATTAGGAAAATAATTTTAGGATGAGCACAGAGGTAGACCTGCTGTAAAGCAGATTCTTGTCAAATTTCCATACATCACTTGATCCTTTAACCTCCAAAATATAACTGAAGTTTTAAGGTTTCCTCTAAGACTGTGATAACCCCAACCTCTAAGTGTTCTCTTGTTCAATGGCTGCAAGTATCTTTAAGAAAGACTGAATGCAGATTCCTATGCACAGGCACATGACGATTTTGGGAGGTTCTTCTATATGGGTTCCTAGGCACCCACTTTACTAAAGCTTTGGAACTGACTTGTACCTGGGAGTTGGAAAAGGAGCTATGACTATCAAGGAAATCTCAGATTGTTTTACTTGTCTTTTTGTTTAAGTTAAACAAATCAAATAGCTGCTTAGTGACTTACCCCTAATGTCAATCCCTGGGACTCTATGATCAGAATGTCATAATCAAAGCTCACTCTGAGACATTTAGTACCTTTCCACTATGCTTCTAGTGATTAGATGGCTGTTATTGTGTCTGACATCCTATATCAGTGATGGCGAACCTTTTGAGCTTGGTATGTCAGCATTTTGAAAAACCCTAACTTAACTCTGGTGCCGTGTCACATATAGAAATTTTTTGATATTTGCAACCATAGTAAAACAAAGATTTGTATTTTTGATATTTATTTTATATATTAAAATGCCATTTAACAAAGAAAAATCAATAAAAAAAATGAGTTTGCATGTCACCTCTGACACACATGTCATAGGTTCGCCATCACTGTCCTTTTATAGCATTGGAAACAGAGAGCTCATTTCAATGTCATCGTATTCCACCAGCGTCATCAGCTTACAGAGAGTACAGTAGTCCCTCCTTTCCACAGTTTCAGTTACCTTTGGTCAACCTCAGTGTGAAAACATTAAATGGAAAGTTCCAGAAATAAACACTTCATAAGTTTTAAATTGTGCCCCATTCTGAAAGCGTGATGAAATCTCACACTGCCCCACTCCATCCAGCCATAGGTGTGAAGCATCCCTTTGCCCAGTGTCTCCACTCTGTGTACTCTACCCACCCATTAGTCACTGAGTAGTTTTCTCAGTTATCAGATCAACTATCAAGGGATCGCAGTGCTTGCCTTCAAGTAACCTTTGTTTTACTTAACAACGGCCCCAAAGCGCAAGAGTAGCGATGCTGGCAATTTGGGTATGTTAAAGGGAAGTCATAATGTGCTCCCTTTACATAAGAAGGTATGTATGCATAGAAAAAAGCAACAGTATATGTAGGGCTCAGTGCTATCAGCAGTTTTATGCATCCACAGAGGGTCTTGGAATGTATCCCCCATGTATAAGTTTGGAACTATTGTACCACTAAGATATTATTGAAATGCTAGCGCTCCCCTCACAAATGACATTTTAGGGCCTTGGGAAGGGCAACTGTTCTCTGCCTTCCTATAGACTATACATATAGTGAGTGGTGAATGGATGGCACAAGTAAATTCACTCCATCATGTCTCCCTTGTTATACAGAAGCATTTACAGCATCTCAAGTTACATTCAAAACTTCTTCAACTGCTCCAGCATATTGACTCCAGAATCTCTTCTGCCTTCCAGATTTTAAAACAAACTAGTCTGATCTATATTTATATTTTTCCTATTTGTTCTAACATCTTTGGAATCCATTCTCACACTTGCTGCTCACATTTTTTTTCTGATACAAATTAACAAAGAACTGTAATTTTCTCTGTGTGTGAGTCTTCTTTAGACCCATAGGAAAAATACAATCTGACTCTACCTAAGGTTCTATACAAAACAAGAGGTGACAGGGGAATGGGGAAAATTGACATCTTATTGCAAATAGGCAAGAGAGACATGATGTCTTTAAGCCAAGGTGGAATGGTCTCTTTAGACAAGAAAAATGAGCTTGTTTAGGTGGCAAGGCAGGCATAGCTGACTTGTGAAGCTTGGGGAGCAGCTCCGGTTCTTACAAATATTATCACGTGAATCACCATTCCAATTCTCAAAAGCCCATTTCTCTCAATCAGTGTTCTAAAAGAGTTGAAAACACCAGATATTTAACCAATGTTGTAATTTGACAAAGCATGTAATCCTCTCTATTTTTTACTTTTAGCTCACGACCTCAGCACGGCAAGTATAAAATGCATAAATCATATTGTTTTAGCAGTCATATAAGGGTTTTTTGGCTTTTAGTTTGTGCCTTGAGATAAAAATATAATGAGTGGAGCC